TCTAAACTTTTCATTACATCATGAGTCTATTTCTAAAGCATTTCCGTTACTCCGATTAGGCGCGTTACACGAACGTCTGTCGTCAGGCCTTACTGAAGCAATTTCCCTGCTAACAGTATATATTAATTTGATTATTATTGAAAAGAATTTTATTTTATTTTTAAAATTATGTTTTAAAATATTAGATGTTTTAAAAAAAGGTATTGTAACACGGAAAAAAAGTAACGCGCCTCACACTGAATTATGGGTTCCCCACAATATGGGATGAAAACAGAGGTATCAAGCACAATGAGTGTGATAGAAACTAGCGTGAGCCTGAAGAAAGGGAAATGTTAGAAGGAAGGGAGTATAATCGCGATACAATCATTGTCACGTGTGGGATCGAACAATAGAATTATGTAATAAGAGTGGTGTGAAAATCAAATAAAAATTGATTCGTCATGAGATTTTTATAGTTTTTCTGTATTTATCATTTTTATTATGTAATAAGTGTGTAAGAATGTATAAAAGAAAGAAATCGATAAAGAAAAAAAAAAAAAAGTCCAGTTAGAAAGTTTTTCGGCCAACATCAATTCCGCCTCACCATAAATAAAACACTTACCATCGTTACGCGAATCTGAGCTTTCCTTAGCGACTGACTCGCCGATCACAGTTACAGTATATGGGTAATTATTTTTGAAGGTGACAAAAATGCTAGATATGATTTTTTCGGACCCAACTTTTAACAATACATATATAATACAAATTGTAGGATCACACCAGAAAATTTCCGGTCCACCTTCGAAAATAATTATCCATATAATATTTAAATAGGATTTACTGGTTTTTTATAATAACAAATTAATAATAACGACAACAGTAAATGTTTGATTTAAAGAAAAGATAATAATGGCTTGATGCCATCAAACTATTAACAAAAAAGCTTAACAATAAACCATATTTTCATTTAATTTATATGATTAATTAAGCATAAGAACTATTATTCATAAAACAGAACTCTAATTAAAAATTAATGCACATTAATTTTTTATTAAGAAAATTACTTCAGGGTCGATTTTTGAACCTTAAATAATTTCAAAAAAGATATTATGTTGACACATATTTTGGTTTATTGACCAAAATTCATGTAAAGCATTGTCGAGCGAGTTATTATTGTTTTTTTTTTAAACCAATAAATCATGTTACATATAGCTCCAATATTCATAAACTTTTTAAAAATCATATATTTTTAATCATAATAACAAAAAACGCATGCAGAAACTATTATCACTATGTATAAAGAGGTCGCAAGGTTTTAATATCAAGGTGATTCTTTAAATAATGATACAGTATAAACTTTTGGAATACGCAAAACCCATATATAGAATTATTAAAAAACATAATATTAACACATTTCCAAATTAGGCTCTATTATTATTAAAAACATGAAGCAAGTATACGCATGGTCATATAAGAACATTCTCGGAGAAACAAAATTGAAACAAAATATTAGAGTCTTGTAACAATAAACAAATATTCTTTCAGTAAGATTAATTTTTTTAAAAAAAAACATATAAGCCAGACTTATTGCGCTCGGTATACTACTGTTAGGCAGTTCTGTTGCTTACCCGCAGATCTCTTTGTTGTGCTCACTTTTTCGCTGCTGACTTGTCTCCCTTTTGATAGTATGGATTGGGCTCGCGAAACTACAAAAAATGGTACACATTAAAACTTTGAACAAGTTAACACAAAACCCTTTTGAATTTAAGGTAAGAACACATTATTAATTTTATTTATGGAATAAGCCAAGTGCGTTTATACAAATTTTAATTATTCTCTTTACATCAGTTATCCTCTTTTTTCCCTATTAACTTTTAATACAGCAAATATAATTTGATATTGAGAAATAACTTTTTAACAAAAATACTTTTTTAAATTATTTGTATAAACACTTCACTTTTGGGATTCTTATAATCTAGAATTTATTTTCATGTCAGCCTTTATCAATGTTATGTTGAAAACATTACTATGAATTTAGAATGCTTACCCGTGGCAAATTCTCTCATGACGATTTCTATTACTAATAGTTTGGAAATATCTATTGCACTCTGGAAATGTACAACCATACGCTAAAAAAAAGATCGGTTATCATTAGACCTTTTAATAAAGATAAAAAAGTGATTCTAAATTATTAAACATAATTTAGACTCACGTCTGCTCCCATTATGTACTCTTAAATGATTGTTCAAAAAGCTTGGATAGCGAAATAACAGATCACATTCAGGACAACTGAACCTATAGAGTAATTGATAGTTTTCGCGAGTAATATAGCCGACGAGGATAAGTTCTCCATTATTCTCTTCGCGGAAAATTCCATTAATAGGTGGGTAAACAAATGAAGTAGGGCTTTCGACGAGACCAGATGAATTTAAATTTCCTCCAGAGGCGTAGCCCATAAAGACACCTGAGAACAACCAATTTTCATCTTGATTATCCAAATAGACAATCATATATCGGCTATTTCCTAGGCTTGCATCGTGACTTCTTACGGTGTATAGGGCATATGCTCTCATGCGTTCGAAATAAATGTATATAGGAAGGTTCATGATAAGACTTACTATGAGGTGCAAAATTTTTAATTTGTTCCGTGAAAAGGTTTGATTAAGTTCTACACGCATGTTGAGTTCAGTATTTATATGATTGAAGAATTTAGTTGTGTATTAAAGTCCCTAAGAATCGAGGAATCAAAAAGATGCCAGTTTCATGATTTTAGTACGACCATCTCATACTATGGGTCATGGGTACGTACTGTACATGGAATTTAGAAATTGTGGCAATTATGGCATTTATTTACTTATTTGACATGTACTGTACGCGTGGCGGATATTTTTATTGAGTTTTTTTTTATTGCGCAACGTATTGCAGTAAAAAAAATTTTGTAAGAACAAATTTCTTGTAACCGTTAAATCCTTAGTTCATAAGTCCACTTTGAAGATCTATTCGGCAACAGTTATTTAGATATTTGAGATCTATTATACGCCGACTCAAAAAAATTGTCCTAATGTTTTTGATTTTTTTTTTTTATTTAAGCGCATAAAAATCAAAAACTTATAAATATTAAATATAATCATACATCATTATTAAAAATATATAAATCCTAATTTATAAATAATTTTATTATTTTGCGCAAATTACATTTAAAATAGGCAAATACATTTGTACCATTTTTTTGCTAAATACAGTGTGGGACATTTGCCTTTCGAAAAAAAAAATTTACTATTTTTATTGACAATAAAAAATCTATTGATAAAATATTGTATAGACTTTATATATAACATATATTTTTACAAATCTAATAAATATGTTTACTGAAGAAGTTTTTTAAATTTAAATTCAAAGACATGAAAATTTTAAAAAATCGATTTAAAAAAAATCATGATAATTATTAAAAAAGAATAATATATTTAATAAAATTATAATTTTCTTTAATGAAAATGGTACAAAAATTTTTGTTTAAAAAGAACAAAATCAGTAAAAATTATACCAAAACTAGATTTTTTTTCTAATTAAAAATATTTTGTAAAATCGATTTTATAAATTAACATTATAAAAAAAATTATAATAGAAAATGTTTTTGTTTTTTTTATAAATTAAAAAATATAATTTTTAATTTTTAATAATTTTTTTTTAAATATATTATTTATAATAGAAAAATGTTTTCCGTTATTAAAATTAAAACTTTAAATAAAAATTTATAATCTGTTTCTTAAAATAGTTTTTTTTTTAAATTTTAAAATATAATTTATTATAAATCTATTACAAAATTATTATATAATGTTTAATGATAATTTTTTACACATATACTTGAAATTTTTTATTAAATTACAATTACCGAAAGTTTTCCAAAAAAAAATGACCCAATTGTATTTAAAATTCTAAAAATTTTATAAAAAAAAAAAAGTTTATTTCAAAGACTTTTATTAATTAAAAAAATCCCATTTCAAAATAATAATTATAAAAATATTCCTCAAGCTTTTTGGAAAAAGTCTTTAAACTTGAAATAGTATAAGTTAGTATTGTCACGGTGATCGGCGAGTCTGTCGCTAATGGGAAGTTAAATTCGCGTAACGATAGCAAGGGTTTATGGTGAGGCGGAATTGATTATGGCCGAGAAATAATAACTTGGCTTCCTTTATTTAATGCTCTCTTTTCTTTTATACATTTTTACAACCTCATTACATAATAAAAATGATAATTACAAATTAAGTAAAACTATGAAAAATCTTATGACGAAACATTTGTTATTTGATTTTCACACTACTTCTATTACATAATCCCATTAATTGGCCTCATAGTGCCATGTTCGATTCTCGCATAACCCGGTCACGTGGAGCTATTGCGATTGTGTCGCGATTCTTCTTTCTTCCCCCTTTTTCCAAGCTCGTGCTCGTTTCTATCGCACTCATTGTACTTGCTACTACAGTCTTTCTTCCCAATATCGTGGAGAAACCCGGAATTCAGCATAAGTTGCATCACTCTTTTCCGTGTTACAGTATATATTTTCGCACAATCTACAATTCTATTAATTGAGAAATAAAAATTACGAATCAATAAAGCAATATCATTGACCAAGAAAAAAAAACTTGACAATAAACCATATAACAAAGCAGAAGTACCATTATTCAGGGAACAGAGCTCTTTAACTAAAATTAACACATATATTTTCATCAGGAAAATTACTCCAGGGTCGATTTTTGAAGCTTAAGTAATTTCCCAAAAGGCATTATGTTAACACCAAGCAATCCATGTTTTGTTTTATTTGCCTATTATTCATGTAAAGCATCGACCAATTCATTAATTTTTTTAAACAAATGAATCATGTTACATATAGTTACGACTTGCATAAAATTTTTAACAAAAAAATTTAGTTTAATAATAATAACAAAACGGATGAAGAAACTATTTCTCTTTATAAAGAGGCCGCGAGGTTTTTATATCAAAATGATTGTTTAAATAATGATTTCACAAACATTTGGAGTCGTCACATTTCAGAAAGTACTTTGTCTTTTGTGCTAACACTAGATCCATATATGGAATTATTAAGTAACCTATTCTTAACACATTTACAAATTAGGCTCTATTAGAATTAAATAATGATCAAATTTGGGAAGCAGGTATCCACATTGTCGTATAAGAACATTCTCCGAGAAAATAATTCAAACAAAATATTTGAGTCTTGTAACAATGAACAAATATTCTTTATGATTAATTTAAAAAAAATTATTTAAGCCAGACGAGAAAGACAACTTTGTAAGCAACATATTCCTTATTCGTGAACCTCTAATATTTGAAATTTTTTGAATAATTACGCTGGGTATACTTCTATTAAGTGGGTTGCTTGTCTGCAGACCTCGTCGTTGTCATCTAAGTATGCCTGCTTTTGCTCTATGGTTGTGCTAATTGCATCTTGCTTTTGGTAGAGGCGATTTAAATAAATCAGATTTCGCGAAACTAAAAAAATGGTACACGATTAAACTTCGAAGGTTAATACACAAAAACTTGTCAATTTAAGGTAAGAACATAAAAAAATGATACACGATTAAACTTTGAAGGTTAACACACAAAAACTTGTCAATTTAAGGTAAGAACACATTGTTAACTTCATTTAAGAAAAAACCAAGCGCATTTATATAATTTTAATTATCTTAATTATTCTCTTTATCCCACTTAATCAATCATCCTCTTCTTTCCCTATTGACTTTAAATACAGCAAATATAATACAATATTGAAAAAAAATTTTTTTAACAGAGACACTTTTTTACATATTTATATAAACCCTTCACTTTTTAGGACCCTTAAAAAGAAAAAATCCTTTTATAGTCTAGAATTGATTTTTACGTCAGCCTTTATCAACTCTTTGTTGGAACATTACCAAGAAGTTTAGAATACTTAGCGGTGACAATTTCTCTCGTGACGATTTCTATTACTAATCGTCGGGAAATATCTATTACACTCTGGAAATGTACAGCCATACGCTAAAAAAAAAAAAAGTCAGGTTATCATTAGACCTTTTAACGAGGATAAGAAAAGTGATTCCTAATTATTAAACAAAATTTAGACCCACGTCTGCTCCTATCATGTACTCTTAAATGATTGTTCAAAAAGCTCGGATAGCGGAATAACAGATCACACTCGAGACAACTGAACCTATAGAGTAATAGATAGTTTTCGCAAGTAATATAGCCGACGAGAATAAGTTCACCGTTATTTTCTTCGCGGTAAACTCCATTAATGGGGGAGTGTACAATTGAAGTCGGGCTTTCGACGAGACCAGAGGAATTTAAATTTCCTCCAGAGACGTAGCCCATAAAGACACCTGAGAACAACCAATTTCCATCTTGAATATCCAAACGGACAATCATGTGTCGACAATTTCCTAAGTTTACATCGTAACTTCTTACGGTATATAGGGTATATGCTCTCATGCGTTCGAAATAGATGTATATAGGAAGGCTCATGGTAAGACTGACTGAGATATAAGATTTTTCAATTTGTGCCGTGAAAAGGTTCGATCAGGTTCTGAGTGCGTGCCAGATCATATTTAAATTATTGTGAATTTAGTTTTGTACAAACACAACGCCCTAAAACATTAAGGAGTTTGGGGAATTGAAAATACCGGTTTTAATGATTTTAGTGGAAACGTATGCGTGCGACTTGATTCTTCATTCCTTGGGCTAAGACCGATCCTTTATGCCGACTTTATGAACGAGTATACATCGGGATTCAGTAGTCATGTGTATATTATATACTCATTCATTCATTATTTATTTATTTATTTGCACATCGTAGCGGGTATTTTTTTTACCAATTTTTTTTTTCTATGTAACATATCACACCAAAAAAATTTCTTGACAAAATCTTGTAGCTGTTAACTCCTAAATCCATAAATTAACTTTGAAGGTTAATCCGGTAATGGTTTTATGTAAGGTGCTTTAGGGTCTATTATATTTACGATGATTTATAAGCTCCTTTGACGTCCAGCAACATTCATAAAAAATACCAAAAAAAGAATTAACTACTGTATTATAGCCAAAAAAGGATATTTTACGCTTTATCCAAATTAAGCTAACAGAAATGTTAATAAATGCGTATTTTTGATTCGGCTAATGATCATTCAAACCAGTTTTTCCAATTATTTATTTACATGATGCCACGCGAATGTCTATTTACGAAACGCCTCAAAGTAAACAAAATAAAAATAATTCCATTTACTGTACAATTCAAAACAAAAAATACTTCATGTTTATATGGACGACACTTTCTCACATTCGTTGCAAGTAACAAAACGGGATGTGGAAGATTTAATCATCGTAAAATCAATATTTGTTTATTCAAAATACGCCTATTTATATTGAGATTCTAATGGTGTGATATACATTGCTATAAATGAGATGGTATTTTTGTTCAATGACCTTTTAGAATTTCTTAATTTAGTAATTAAAAAATTTATTATTTAACAACATATTACTAAAAAAAATATGTCGCCCAATGATATCGAGTGTCGGGTGCTAATGCATATAATGTGTTCATCTAAAAACCGGATTTTCGTCTTAGGTTGGCATATCCGAATATATGTGTGTGATTCAAGTATATAGTGTTTGTGGGACAATAAGGCGATATTAAGTGTCAAGTCAACCAGTTATGTGCATAGGAGATTTAGGGATTTAAGGATTTAATTAGTGACACAACCAGTCTAATCATTGATTTCAGACTTACCTAAGCGTACGAACAATTCAAGATTCATTACACAAATACGGATTTCCAACTACTTTAAAGTGTTTTGATTTATAATTCAATGTCTATTATATGTTGTATATCCTCTAAAAACTTCATCGGATGTACATATCTTTATATTTGGAGCAATCTAAAATTCGCAGAATGCATATAAAAATCGGCGCAAGTTCAGTGATGGGACAAAATGTTGGTCGTTCAATCTTAAGCGTACTGTGGGCGGTATTTGTTTTTGACGGATGGATCTTATTTGCCTTCGATAAACACATGCAAAAAACACGTGCATGTTATCTACAACTAATGAAAATTATTAAACAAGAAAAGAAATTATTATTATTATTACTCTGTATATCTCCCTAAAACAAAATTGGGTTATACATGTCAAGATTAATATTAAAAAACTTAAAATCGTTAAAGTTTAATAAGACGAAATAAATCATAAAACGTTATACATGAATTAATAGCATAAAATAGTCGTTTTTAAACATAATTTTATTTAAAAAGATAAAGTAAAAAGAAAAAAAAGAGTTTTTTAAACAATGCGCTTATCGTTTAATAATATACCTGGGAGAGTTTTTTTCCAATTTAATAACTTGACCTTTTCTCATATTGATATTTGGAATTTCCGAATCGCAATTTATCTTTGAAGACAATAAAATTCTGAATATGAGTTCTGTTCCTATTTTTAAATAATGCTTGTATGTTATAATGCAGATTTTAGGATAGTAATACAGAGTCCAAAAAATCCCTATCTTTGTTCGAAAATAGTTACCCATATAGTGTGATGGAGAAATGCGCCACAGTGCACAATGTGTCATCACGTTACGTCATAATGTTATCGCGAAAGGTGGGAAAATTCTAGAATAGTGTATAAAAACGAAAACATGTAAAACATGTAAACATTTGGCGCATGTATAAATGTATGCTCAATTCGATAGTATTAGAGACAAGAAATAAAATAAAAAAATTTGAAATAAAACAATCTTTTATCATGTTTCACATATATTTGTAATTCGTGAACGAAGGAATAGGATATACATAAGAAAATTGGCATCGATAAAGGGTTCTAAGAATACTAATAAGCTTACCTCTAATTGTGTGTTGACGTGAAGAATTATCCCAATGATTTACTAGGTTACTTGTTAATTGTTACGCCTGAAAAAAATCTATTGATAGATTTTACAACTTTAAAAAAATCCAATATTAATATAAGTTCTATTATATAAAATAAAATCATCATATTTTATTTTTATTAGCTTTTTTATTAAAAAATATTTTAAATAATAATTACAGAAGAAAATTTAAAAGTAAAAATACGTACAATATTTAGCATTAAGAAGGGGTTTTCTCGATGATATTTGTAGTAACCTTAACATTTGGGATGTTTTTTATTGTAAGAAGTAAAAAATTCAAGGAATCCCTTTAAAGATTTTTATTTTATTTTTTTATCTATGGAACTTAATTAAACTTTTGATTTTGTTTATCTCCATTACGAATTTGCGAAATAAATTATTTCGATCAAGTATAATGCAATATTTTTGATTATTTGTTATTTTTATAATTATTTAAATAACACACGATTATACAGTAAACATTGCAATGGTCCGCTTATTATACCTTGATAAAAATTTGCCAAATAACTTATTCTTCACATACAGTATTTTAAATTTGCAAGAATACGCATTTTTTAATTTTAATTTTAATTTTTAGATTTAAAATTTAATCGTGTTTAATTACCGTGTATTGATATTATGCTAAATAAAAATTCCAGCCAATGTTATACAGGGATCGATTTGATTGATTCTTTTTTTACAACTATTTACCATTCTCCTGATAATAGAAGTCTTGTGGTCTATTAATCCCTTACGAAGTGTTGCAAAATGGCATTTTTATACAAATCTTTGGTAAGTGTGTGTGTAAAATTATCCTTGTACATCATCACTAATGGCTGCACAACGTTACTTACAGTATTAAAATTACAATAAAATTTGGATAATTGCAATGTTATTCAGTCATACGAATGTGTTTAACAAAATGATTGGGTCTAAGAACGATAGCACAAATGGAACTCTTTTCCGGTAGGAAATTAATAAATAGTGTTAAAAAGGAGGTACGGCAAATAAAACATCTCTTGAAAAAAAAATGCTTTTACTAGAAGGTTGTAATTATAATTCCCGATAAAATTTGGATATGGCATATAATAAACTTTCGATGAACAATATTCGTTCTTTCAAACACCAAAACCACGATGAAGGTAAGAAATTTTATTTAACCGTTTTTCAAAGCCAATATATATATATATACAGTATATAATAATAATAATAAGTACAAAAAAGCAGATTTGTTGGTATATTAGTTTTGGTTAGGGACGTGACTCTTTTCGTGACGTCTTCTATTTACTTCTAATGTATAAGACTTTTTACATCCTTCAACTCGGCATTCCACTAGAGGGAATTAAAAAAAAACCATTATTAATGCTTCCTAACAATGAGTGAAAAAAAAAAAAAACCTACGTCTTTCATTGGTATGAACTTGCATGTGGTATCTTAAATGGCATGGGTATTTATACAACTTTTTGCAGTCACGACATATGTGTTTACGGACGAGTTCGCGTTCCTTTAACAAGTTTAAGACTTCTTCTCCAATATAACAAATAAGTGTCAGCTCACTATTATCATCGACACGGCAAACCACATAATCTAGATGAGTATAATTCAATAGGATAGCGCTTCCTTCAGTGTCTTCGAAGATCGACGGATCCAAGTTTTCTTCATCCATATTTTCGTCGATATGGCCCGTACTTTCAACGGAGATTATATCTTTCACACGATCGATGAAGTCCAAACCATTACTATTGATGTAACCACATATGATACCATGATCTTTGTCGTTGAAACGGAAAATCATGTAAGAGCTAGTTTCTGAGGGTGGTGGGAAACTTTCGAAGGTTGCTATAAAGGTATACATTTCGTATCCACCATCTCCATTTGCGGTATGGAGAGTTACAGAGGCACTTACATGTAAATGAGGAACGTTTGTTTGTATCATTTTTTTGTTACAATAACAAGCAAGACGTGACATGAATGATCCTTTGTCTCTTATATATACTAACAACCGATTGCAAAAATTGAATGTAAAGGATTTTAATCATGACCAACTCGTGTCCCTTAATCCTAAAATCTTTTAATCAATCTTTGCCTCGGAAAATTCGCCTGTTTTGTGTGTATAATATGAATTTCAAATTTGGAAATCGTACGTTCAATCATTACGTATGTTCAATGTCTTGGTGTTAATAATATATAACGTTTGGATATTTTAAACTTTTCCTGATAAGACGCTAAATAAACAATAAACCGCTAAAATAATAACAATAAATAAAGCTTTATATTATAATATATATAGTATATACATTATTCGTTTTAAAATTACCATTGATCTATAATGCACGAACAAGTTGTATACATAGTATATACAGGGTACTATAAATTTAATTTTTGTTAAACTTAACCTTTTCCTCGTGTAACAATATTTGTCGGGCCCAACATAGAAAAAGAGAAATTTTGGGAGTACCCTGGCAGGGTTGAAGGATAGAAGGAATGTAGCTAAATCTTCTTGAACGAATGAGATAAATTTTTATGTATTACAGTACTACAATAAATCCTATGCATCGGATTGAAGCGCCGCAGCTTTCCTTCTTTCATTAACCAAACACAGGCAGAGTAAGGTCACGCTTAATAAAATCATTCATATTAAAATTCTTTGGTGTCTCAAACATGTATACCATTTTTGTAAAAAGAAAAAAAAAGCTTTTGATCATATGATTGTTTTATTTAGTACTGTACATTGTCGACCCTATTATTATCATTATCTTTGATTGCCTTCCTTTTAAGGATTTCCGATGCACTGTACCCTGTTATTCATACAACTCGTAAATATATTCTCACATTTTGATAATATGGGTTAGGTGCTGTCTTCTCAATTTAGTATCAATTAACAAACGTCATACATCACGAAGGCATTCGTCACGTTATTGAACCTTAAACGGCATATAATCACATGCATGGGATTCTACATCCATCTTTAAGTCACATTGCACATTGTCTGTTTTTCTTTATTTTACATTGTGACATTATTATAGGATTAATACTATATATATGCGTTTAAATTATTTTAGTCAAGGTAACCCAAAAGGGTGTGCTATTGATTGTAAATAGTATATGCGTTTTGTATTGCCCGCAACATGAATAAAATACTGCTTTATTCACCATAAAAAAACAACGTTTCCTAGACAATAATGCATATTTCTTTTCATGATAAAAAAAATAGTTCACTTCTTGTAAAAATCAAAAAAGAAGTATGATCCGGTGCATGAAAATTAAGAATATTCGATTATGTACTCACTAAGTCATCGAGTTTCGTTTCAACAAACTATGCAAGCTACCAACCTAACCGTTACCATATGCTATTATTAAAAATAATGTGACATTTGAATTCTCAAATAATAAATATTTGGTATATTAAACTGCATCAATTATAAAAATCACAAGTTTATGGTACTAACCATGCGTCTAAAAGCAGATGTCGAAAAAATAATTTTTTTTTTATCGAAGAGAAAATTAATAATAATATAATGTAAAATCATGCGAAATTTAATTTCTTTTGGATAGTAAGGATTTAGAATTATTTAAGATAGAACTATCGTGAAAAACTAATCTCGGACAGAAAAGTCGATTTTTTTTTTTATCAGAGCTGTATACAGTATTTGTGAATAAGTACAGTATACACAAATGATTGTTGATCATCGGGGTTGCATCCTGATACTGTAATTCCAACAAAATCAGAATATACTTTGATCAAACTATTTATTTGAACATGGATTAAAGTATAGTGGTATGTGATTGATTTTAGAATTGAATCGTGGTATGGGATTGGTTTTAGAATTGAATTGCTGATCGTCCTGGTGCCGCAACATCAAATGGTCTGTACAATAACTATATTCTCTGCGGGTGATAATATATGCAAAAGTTTTGTACTTAATGAATGAACATTTAGATGATTGAGGATTTTACGTACCAGCTAAACACAAGGTTTTGGATTTAATGTCGCTAATGACCGAATAATATTGTTCCTTAATACGATCAATAAATCATTCTATTGAATCTTAAATCATACCTTGATTCCATTCCAAATACGTATCAGATAACCGTCGTGCAACTTCGAAAGAGGCGGTTTGATCTGAGCGAGGTAATCATTAGTTTTATAGAAATAATAAAGATCATAAGGGCATTTATTTATTAGTTAAGTTCATACTTTGTCATGAAACTTTTTTTTCTTTCTTGTCGTTATTTAGCCACATGCTGAAATTCATGCCATTCACAATTTGTTAATATACGCCATGACTTGATGGAATTTCATATGAAAATTAACACGAAATTGAAATTTTTTCAAAATAAACAAATAAATTATACGTTATGTGAAAATTCTAAATGCCAATGATCCCATAAAGAAAATATTTTTTCCTTTATATTTTTTGATTTGGGGATTACCCAAACAATATGTATCGTATTTGTCGTTACACGATAGATCGTACTCGCTCAAAAATTTGAAAGATTAGAGTCGTGCGTGCGCATGTCAATAGAAAAAATATGGACATCAATATTAAATTTCTCAGATCATAAAAAACACCCCCTAGTGGTCTTATAGGGTGTTATGTGCGTACAAATCAAATCCTTTCGTCGTCTTGACAGCTTAAAAGAACGATCTCAGTACGTACCTAGACCTTCAAATATTTCGCATCCTAAATTCAAGTTCCATCTTACTATGAGCCTTATATCCATCTATTTCGAGAATATTGGCGCGTGTGTTCTATTTACTGTGAGAAGTTTGGATGTACTCCTGGAGAATCGGAGATACATGATTGTATGTTTGAATGGTCAAAATGAAAATGGATTATCTTCAGGAATCTTTACGGGATATGCTACTGGAAGAAGCTTGAATTCATCCCGTTTTGTCGAAGGAACAACTTCACAATTTGTTCACGCGCCCATCAATGGAATTTACCTCGTTAATAGTAATGAAGAGCTGACCCTCGTTGGGTATATTTCTCAGGAAAACTTAATATCACTTTATAGGCACTATTGCCCCGTTTGTTGGTTATTGCTTCGATTTCCTAGCAACCTAACCATACACTCGAGGTTTCACAACGGGGATAGACGTAGGTCTAAATTTCATCTATGCACCGTTAAGATATTTAAAGGTTTCATGAATAACCCGCTTTTTTTTTTCTTTTTTTTTTTCTAGCGTATTCCTGTTCAAGGTGTAATGAGTACTTCCAAACTACTAGCAATAGAAACCGTCACGAAAGAATTTGTCGTCGGTTGAGCAGAAATTCGTAAACTTTTCAGTAAAGGCAAACAATATTTCAAACGCTACATTAGGTCAACAAACAACGTCATAAGCATTCGCAAGTCCATATCGAAGATAGCATGTATCCACATGTTGCGAAAATTGTTAAGAAATTTTTTAGGAAAAATGATATTCGCAAACAACAAGAATCAATTTATACAAACACTTTTACATAAAATACTTGAAGGGTATATTAAAATTTTTCTTTGAAAATGAATAAAAACCTGGGAGAATAAAAAAAAGTATACATATAAACGAAAAAGAAAAAATGAGATTACTGTTTTAAGGATACAAGATATTTATATAAATAAAAAGAGCTGCCAATTTTTTAATTACTTGGTATTTGCGATTATACAAGTTCTAAATTATGAATTAATGGTTCGTTGGCAGAACAAACATGTTATTTATATTCTTTCCCACCTTGCTTGAATTTATTTTTATTGGTCTTTTTAAAAGAGAGTTACATTTTACACTTATTGTCTTTAGACTAAAACATATTGTCTAAATTTTTTCTCTGTAACGTTCTTCATGTAACAATGTGCATTTTGTGTTTACGTATCCAATTTCCCTTATTTAAAATTAATAAATCACAAGTGTAACCCATTATCTTTCAGGAACCACATGCCCCTATTTTGCAATGCATTCACACTGGTGGATATACAGTGTGAGTCAAAATTATTGGAAAAAAATTTTTATTAATAAACTTTACAACTATCAAAGCAATTTAGACGA